TTGTTTAGCATAGCTAATATATGGAATCAACACAGATGCCCCTCAGTGGATGAACAGATCAAAAACATGTGGTATATTTATACACAATGGAATTCTACGCTTCTATTAGAAAGAATGACATGCCTCATTTGTAAGGAAATGGAAAGACTTGGAAAAGATTATATTAAGTGAAGTAAGCCAAAGAAACATAGGTTGCATGGTTTCCCTCACTTGTAATAACTAGAATGTGCCTATAAATTTACCAGTAAACAGGATGAAATGTAAGCCTTGAAGATAATTGTAATAGATATAGTAAAGGGATAGTAATAACAAAATATAGAAAAGAAAAACTTCTAAGTTGAAGCATTAATCATTTATGAGATAGTTCTATTAAATTCTGTTCTTTGCCACACAGGGCTCTAACCATAGGAAACTGTGAAGCCACCATAAGTATGGGGGAGCACTCACTAGTCACAGCTGATAACTTGACAGTGACATTGAGTGGCTCCAGAATACCTGACCGTCACTAGGCACAAATGAAGACTCTTTAATGACCAGTGAATAGTGAGTCTTGTTTTGTAACTAACTAATGGACCCTTGTGCCCTCTGGCGCAAGTAAACATTAATTCTTTATTAGCATAACCACCAACAACTCCTGTCATATCTCTAGCTCCCAGTTCTCCCTGAGGTTTTCCTCAGAAAACGACATTGAATTTGCCAAACCCTTTCTTCAAAAATCTATCAGCCCTTTGTTAACTTTGATTTTGTTTGAATTTGAGAAATCATAGCAAAAACCTCAAATCTATCTTCAAGAGAAAAAGAATATCCCCAACTTCTTCAAGGAGAAAGAATAGTATACAGAATAGCCCACCACTTACTCTAGCTTAACAAATGGTTTCAGAATGGGTGAAGATAAATATGTGTGTGTCAAAAGGGAAATAACCAGAAACAAAGAAAAACAAGCATTATCAAGGAAACACTGATGGTGTCTTTATCTACCTGGCTGCTCAGAGTTGGGAGTACTTTGACACAGGAACAGAAATATCTTAAATCCAAGTCTCTATATCTCCATTATGTCCTATCAAGTTATGTTCATGTTCTCTTATATTTCTGCTGTAACTCATGGTCAAAAGTACCTGATAAGGTTTGAGGTTGAATCCCAATAGTGATTCTCCCTTAATGGATGTTGTATTTTCATAGGTAAGCAAAATATAGGATTAGTAAGTTATGTCACTTCCTGTTGTTTTAAGTATGATAGTGAGATATATGGGTACCATTTATACATCTCCACATACTGGACACATTGATGTAATACAACAATAGAACATAAAATTTACAAAGTTTTTGCAAGATTTCTATCAAGAGAAAAGGTAAAGATCATTGTTCAATTTGAACATCTTATGGATCAATTTATCATGTATTTAATATTTCCTTCCAAAGATAGGTCATTTTCTACCCTAGGCCACCAGAGTGATAAATTTGTAAGATTAACATTCCACTAAAACCCTTATTGTTTACGTTACTGTTTACAAAAACATTTTAATACCACACTTAGAAACACTATAAAATATATGTGTAAATGTACCTAAAGTCTTAAAAATTATTTATTGTCATACTCTTGGATTTACCATCTGAGGTCCATATTTTAATGTTGGCATCCTGGTTTTATCTGTCCTGAAGTCATATCTTAGTTTAAGAATGTTTTGCTGAGAAAGTCTAGGATTAGCAAAACCATTTTATTTCCAAACCAAGAAGTTATGACTCAAATTTTCTCTAAATTCTGCTCAGAATCTTAACAATTGCTATGTTAGTTCATCTCTTGGTGCTAGAAGCTGGTAGGCATTTTCTGATTCCTTCTGGAAAGATCCGTTTCTATTTTTCACAGTAACTTGGCAATAGAATTACTAAACTTTTTAATACTATATAAAATGAGTTCAATTTTTTTCCAGCCTCCAAAAATACATTTTTCATTGTCCTTCAAATCTCCACTCATGAGCTTTTTGAGCTTTTCTAACAATCTCTTAGAGGCATTATCAGGTTTTGCTTGTGGCCTGGTGCCAGAGCCAGTGTAGCATTTTTAAACAAATTCCACACATAAAAATATATTCTAGTCATGTATTGCTGGGTTACCAGCGTCTTCAAAATTTTGCAACTTAAAAGAACTATCATTCACTTTGTTCATATCTGAGCAATTTGGACAGGACTTGGCAAGGATAACTTTTTTTTTCTATTTCATGTCTGTGGACTCCACTGGGACTACTGGATAGCCTGGCATTTTTTCTTGTATCACAGGGTTTGTCCAGCAGCCAGTCTCTCTCCAGAGTCACAGCTAGAATGGGAATTTCAAGTAACTGTTGAACGAATGTTCAAATGCTCAGTGACTTATTATCTAACCATTAAATTCTGACAATATCATGGTGATGATGTTTAAAAATTTCTAAGTTAAAACTTTGTGATAAGTAACTGGGTTATTTTCTCATGACAAAGCAAGGAAGACATGTTTATAAAACAAAATTTGTATACTGACAATTAGATTTAAATATATATGATAGGCAAATTGTCTCCTTACATCTTTCATGAGCACTTTCATCTGCTAGTCATAATAAATTAGTCAAATTAACCTGAAAACACTTAGAAAATATTATAAAAATGAAACATTCCCATAGTTTGTAAAATAATGATGTTGTAATTAAAATATATAATTATGACACAGCATTGGGAAAGATGTTTTCCCTTCATTGCTACAGGAAATGTGACCAATTAATCATTCATATTTTCTTAATGATAATAAATGGAGATAGTGAAAACAGTGAAATAATAAAACAAATAATTATTTCAATAGTTAGACAAAAATAATTAACGCACTGCAACAAGACATAATACCAATCTAAATTGTATTTTTCAATGTACAATGTAACAATCAAATGATCTGTGAATGAAAAATATTTGTATATTTGTATTTGTATATTTGCATAGTATTACATTTATGAGTAGCTATAAACTTTACTGCTGTATGCATTAAGGAGCTGTGTATGGAGCTGTCAGGACATTGAAGTCATTTGATCTTCAGTGTTTCATGGTTTATGTTCACTGAAGACTTAGGTTAATTTCATTTTTATATGCTAATTTTTGCCTTATATATTGTTGCAAGTCATTAAATCAAATGAATTTTTCATGAAAAGTATGCTGAAGAGTATATAATTACAACATTTAACATTTGTTTAAATGAAATGAGATTGAAAATATATTGTCTTTACATATATATGAAAGATAAAAGTATTCCCTGCTGTTCTCACAGGAACTTTAAAGCTAATCACTCTGATTTCACACCACATGCATGTGTTGAAACATCACACTGAACCGTATTAATATATATAATTGATCCATGCTAATAAGAATAAAGTAATTAAGAAAAATCTTGAGAGAAGGAAGAAAAAGAATGATTTAAATAATGGCTATTATGCAGCAACTTGGAGCTTTTGTAGACCTTTATTTATCTGAGCAGAATACTTGTCAGAATTCTGGAAATGACTGTCCTTAATAATTGTCTTTCCACTCCAGCCTAATACAAATTTTATCCTACGAAGTCTTCTTTCCACCTTCCTGATGAGCTTGTTCAGTTTCCTCTATTGTCCCTCCCTCAGTTCAAATAGCCCATGGGCCCATGGTTTTCTGATCTGAAGCATCTTTTTATAGACATGGCTGTTTTTTATTTCATCCATCCTTTAGTTGTCATGACTTTTGTGAAAGTTCTTCCAATTCTGCTGTAACCAATCTGAACCTCCTTTTCTTCACACCTGTGCTATTCCAATAGGCCCTGCCAATCCAGTCTCACTTTTCTGTTTCTGCATAGCGCTGATCATATCATTCCATTGTTTGGAGCCCTTTAGTGCCATGTCATTCAATTACAATAACATACACTCTTACCATGATCTTCAGCCTCCTTTTTGAATTAAGCTCTGTGTTTTCTTCTAACACATTTCTTTTAACCTTTCCATGCTATGAAATCACTACTACTTTGGCTTTCTGTTTAAACCACAGATTTCTCCCTGCCATCTCCAAATCTATCTCTGTCTCCAAGAGCTGAACATGTTCTTCACTTAGTCTTCAAAGTGACTCCTGATTGGGACTGGGTGATAAGAGGGAGAGACAACTCAGATAGTTTTCTGGGATAAGGATGAGTTAAAAAGCTTCCAGTGGGCCAGGCTCTGGTGGCTCATGCCTGTAATCCTAGCTACTCAGGAGGCTGAGATCTGAGGATCAAGATTCAAAGCCAGCCAGGAGCAGGAAAGTCCCCAAGCTCTTATCTCCAATTAACCACCAGAAAACCTGAAGTGGAGCTCAAAGTGGTAGAGCACCAGCCCAGAGTGAAAAAGCCCAGGGACAGCGCCCAGGCCCTGAGTTCAAGCTCCACAACTGACAAACAAAATGAAAAAGAAAACAAAAGAAAGGCTTCCAGTATTGGCTTGAAAATGAGATAGAACATGCCTTTGTGTGAAAAGCAGTGGGTCATGTGAATATGTATCTCTTAATCTCCGCTGGAGGAGTAAGACGCAAGAAAAATATTAGAGACAGATCATATCGTCTTCTTAAAGGTTATTCATATAATTGAATACTTCAGATTTGGATAAAACTGACAGGATGCTATTTTCATTGTGGTGCAGAAATCTTTATGCTAAGATCCTGTATCATATCTTGATTTTTTTATTACATTTTTATCTAGGTTGAAAACCAATGTAGGAGAAGAATTGAATCACTTATTTCCTCCTGCTTGCCTCAAATAACTGATCTTACCTCCAAGTGCAGCTGACATGTACATAAGGAAAATGCCTTTACTTATGCACATTGCCAAATTTATGTCTATATGCTGTACACTATGTTTGTAAACCATAAAAGTGTTATAAGCCACAGTGTCTGGCTTTTGGCAGGCTTTTCTTTTGGCTGTAGCATCTGTTCAGAGTGTCAGAGTACAAATTTAGAAACTTAAATATAGCCAGCTCATCTTTCCACCAACTGATTTGCTTTAAATTTCCCAAGTAAAGCAACATTTGCTGGAGAATCTTTCCTCATAAAATACCCAGAGGTATGTGTCTCTTTTTCATCAGATCTCTAAAAGACTTGGCACATATATAAAATATGAAACTGGGTTATATAAGGACTAATACCATAGTCAAGTTACATAAAGCTTTGTGTGTTATGAAAAGTTAGTGTACGCGAGTGAAGTCATTCTTTTTGCTTTATAATGAATATATTATGGATTGAGAAAGATATGCTATTAAATTTCAGGTTCTTTATAAGTTGATAAAAGATTTATTACTAAGTCCTGATTTTAGTTTACATAATTCATAGCTAATTTTATACTAATTAAAAAATCTTGATTTGTTAAATCAGATGTATGAATTTCAGCATCTAATTTTAGAAAAGCTTTCTGTATTTTAAATGAACTGAACAAAGTTGATATATTTAATAATTGTTCCTTGAATATTTCTGATTAATGAAGCTTTTCTAGTTAAGGTTGCTTATGCAGCTTCATTTGAAATTTAGCAATATTCCCTAGATGATTATAATGATAAAGATTACTGCTGTGATTTCTAAATTTACTATTTTTGGAGTAAAATGTTGTCAATGAAAAAGTAAGATTAGCATGTAAAGTGGAATAATCACATCTGCTCAATTGCAAAGTTTCCTCTATTGTCAATTTCTATCATAACACCACTATTACCTTTTTAACATCTCAAACCTCTTATCTCAAACTTTTCTCTTTCTGTCTGGTATTCCTAGTCATAAGGTCTAAGCCAAGGTCATACACTTTGCTCAGCAAAATGGAGTCTTTCTCCCTCTGGCTTAGCCAGAAGACCAGGTGCAGCATCCTAGACAAAAGAAGCAAATGTCCTAAATGCTTATGAAGAATGCTCAAGTACAACTAGAAAGTCGGTTTATAGAGGTTCATTTCCAGTTCTGGAGATAAACAAAGAAAGACTGTGAGCAAATCTTAAATTTCTGGGAAAATCAAGTTAAAACAGTACTACTATTATAAACTATTTACCTTTGGGCTCTGTTGTGTGAGAGACCAAGTTAAAAACCAAAGGTTAACTTTTCAGTTATGGATTACGTTTTAGATTTTTTTTTTTTTGTGGGTCGTGGGGCTTGAACTCTGGGCCTGGGCGCTGTCCCTCAGCTCTTCAGCTCAAGGCCAGCGCTCTACCACTTGAGCTACAGTGCCACTTCCGGTTTTCTGGTGGTTTATTGGAGATAGGAGTCTCAAGGTCTCTCCTGCCCGGGCTGGCTTTAAACCGCGATCCTCAGATCTCAGCCTCCTGAGTAGCTAGGATTACAGGCGTGAGCCACCAGCGCCCGGCTCGTTTTAGATTTTTCTTCTGAAATCCCTAAGAATGATATGTTTGGGGAAAGAATGGAAGTGCTTTTAGATCAGTTAAAATCAATTTTGTCAGTCACAAATTAGAGCTGTAAATACATTTTAAAAATAGCTGACAATAGCGTGTTTTATAAATGTCTTTCGCTCTTTGTCTCTCTTTTGGTGCCTGTCCTGGGGCTTGAACTCAGGACCTTGTGCTCTTGCTTGGCCTTTTCAGCTCAAGGCAGGTGCTCTACCAATTGAGGCATACCTCCACTTTTGGCTTTTTACTGGTTAATTGGAGTTAAGAATCTGATTTGCCTGCCTACGCAGGTTTAAAACCATGATCTTCATCTGTTAGTCTATTTAGTAGCTAGAGTTAGAGAAGTAAGATACTGGTGTCTGAGTGTAAATGACCTTTAATCATATCTTTTCATACTTTCCCCAATACTTATTTATTCTTCCTTCTTCTCTGATAGGAGTCTAGCCATAATCACATCACTAGTTAACCTTTGTAAATTTCTCAAAAATGTATTGACTCATGAACTTACTAATAAAGCACTTTTTTCAGGATGTCAAACTTGGAACAATTCAACACTGATTTTTATCAATCTAATTATACCATTGATAATCAGGAGCAGAACTATATTGCTTCTGATACCTATGGGAACCTTTATGGATCTAGTGGGTAAGTACTTTATTTTATTTTTTATTTTCTTTAAGTTATACAAAGGAATTTCCATTTAACACAGTTTATATTGTTTCCATTTTGAACAATATTAATAATATTGCAAGGGGCTTCAGGCTGGGAGATGTTTTTAGCAGAAGTCAAAGTTATTCTCAGCATATCTCAATAAAGTACCCAAATAGAAATGGTACAAGAGAGCTGTGAAACCTTTCTTAGAGAATGTCCTTTATGATTTGAGGCCCATGCCAAGTAAATGGTGTAGGTATTCTTTTAAAAAAAACTCTGGCAGATTTTGAATACAGGCATGTTTCTAGTTACTTTTACAGAGCCAGGCTCTAATGGCAGGGAAAGATGTACGTATATAGTGTTTTCACAACAAAAATATGTGAAATGTGCTTCAGGCAGAGGGAATACTATAAGCATTAAGTTATTCTGAATAACCATATAATCTACGATGAGAAATGTATAGTTTTTTCCCCACTTATCTTCTCCTGTCTTATAAAAAGGAATCCATTGCCTCAAAACTTCTATTTATTTGATCTATTCATTTTTCCAAACAATATATACATACTTGGGTATCCATCTACATTTCCAGAGTGAAGTGAAGTAAAAGGCCCAAGAAAGACAGAACTTTCTAGGGTCTTACTCTCGGATCCGTGCATCACAGTATTTTCTCCTTATCTCACCCAACATAAATTTATTTTCCTCTTTGATTCTTTTTTTTTTTTTATTTTTCGGCTGGTCCTGGGGCCTGAACTCTGGGCTTGGATGCTGTCCCTCAGCTCTTCAGCTCAAGGCTAGCATTCTACCAGTTGAGCCACAGTGCCACGTCTAGCTTTTTCTGCTCATGTGGTGCTAAGGAATCAAACCTGGGCTTCATGTATGCAAGGCAAGCACTCTACCACTAAGCCACGCCCCCAGCCCCCTCTTTGATTCTTTATATCACTGGTTCAGAAATCAAGAGGACAAAGAGGTAGAAATTAATATATCCAAATGAAAGAAGCTCATAATTAACTGAATCAGGATGAAGACTTAACTTGCTTCAGGTACTTTCTAGTTCAATCCAACAACTTGATTCCAATGCACCCTGTTAAGGTTCAAAAATAAAGGAAGGTTTTTTTTGGCTGTGGTCAATATAGGAAGTAAAAGAACATCCACTCAGGTCTGTGACTTATTAATATGCCTCAGAGGAGTTTCAGAATTCTTGTCTCTTATCAGTTCTATGAATAATTCAATGAAGTATACATCAAATCAAAATAAGATGCTGAGCATCCTGGGGAAATAGTGTATCTAGAGGATAGCTACTGTGGCCAGAGGTATAGGAATTATGAGATTATTTATCACTAACCAATCAATTGTGACTCCCCCTCCTGCCTTTCTTCTTCCTTATGCGGGAGCAGAACACTGCTCAGAGTTTCAGCCAGAATCTAACACCTGCAGTGCTTGATTTGTTAGATTTCTTTGGTACCTGCATGCTTTGATGCTGGGGGGATTGACTAATGGTTTGGTGTCTATGAAACAATATTTCTTTTGGTGTCAGATGAAATTTAAATGCCATATTAACCATGTAAGGTTTTAATTGAAAAATATATATAAGGAGTTAGGCCCAGCATATTGCATATACTAAGGTAATATGAGTCTGTGTAGATTTTGCTTCTAGAAGCCTTTTCATAATCAGTTTTCTTTCTTTCTTTCTTTCTTGCTTGCTTGCTTGCTTGCTTTCTTGCTTTTTGTCAATTGTGGGGCTTGAACTCAGGGCCTGGGTGCTGTCCCTGAGTTCTTTTGCTCAAGGCTAGTATTCTGTCACTTTGAGCTATAGCACCACTTCCAGTTTTCTTGTGGTTAATTAGAGATAAGAGTCTCAGGGACTTTCTTTCCTGGGCTGACTTCAAATGCTGATCCTTAGATGTCAGCCTCTTGAATAGCTAAGATTACAAGCATGAGCCACCGGCACCTGGCCATTCATTTTATTTTCTTTTGATAAAAGTTTGAGCAGTTTATTATTCTGTAGTAAATAGTCATTTTTGTTGTTGTTGTTTTTTGGTGTCAGTAATGGGGCTTGAACTCAGGGCTTAGGTGCAGTCCTTGAGCTTTTATGCTCAAAGCTAGTGTTCTACCACTTGAGCTAGAGCTCCACTTCTGGCTTTTTGGTGCTTTATTAAAGACAGGGCTGCATGTGCTTTCTGCCCTGGCTGGTTTTGAGCCATGATCCTCAGATCCTGAGATCTTGAGATCCCAGACTCCAGAGGCTCTTGGATGGTAGGAGTGAGCCATTAATGCCTGGCTAAGTAGTCATTTAAAATAGGTGAATTTGTTAAAGGAAAATTAGAGTCTCCTATCTTGATTTGCCATATATTCCTTTGGTAGATGTATAAACAGTAGTATTCTTTTTTAATCTAGACAACAAGCCTGTGAGCAGTCTCAGCCCAGCCCCTTCATTCCTCCAGAGATGCTCCTGACATCCGGACACACAGGACAATTTTTTCAGCCAGCCTCCAACGCAGATTATTATCCACAAGCTCCTTACATTGACAGTTTTGATGAAGAGCCTCCTTTGCTAGAAGATAAGTTAAGGAAATGTTATTAATGTGTGTAAAGCTCAGAGAAGAATAGCAATAATTATCACTTAATATGTGCTGTCAGCATCCCACATATAATGTTTTATGTGTAATTGTTCCATATATTACAAGAGTCTACCCAGCCATGACATATAAACCATTCAGCGTTTGTTTCGTGTTTGTACAGGGAAATATGGAAGTAGATATAAGCTATAATATGGTGCTGCTGAAGTTATTAAATATTTCTTTACTGATTTTTGAATTTGGACTTGCTGGCTACATATAAACAGTAATGAAGGCATCTTTTGGCCATCTGCTTATATCAAAACAACTACTTTTGCCACCCTAGTTAATGAGCCAGTTCCTAACAGCATATTTTATCTTTGGCTGTGTTTGCCTGAGAACAAACAAGATAGTTTAGTTACACTAGGATTTTATATATTTCTTAAGGGTAAATATATATATAAATAATATATATTTTATAATATGTATAATATGTAATATATAAATAATATATACTTCATATATTATATATAATTAATAGATGTTTATAATATATTTTATAATATAATTAATAATTATATATTATATTTTATAATATATAATGTTTATATTTAAATATATATATGTATACATAGTTATTGTAAAGGTGATGTACCAAAGAGTTACAGTTACATAAGTCAGGTAATGACACTTCTTTTTGGACAGTCATCCTTTCCCTCATTCTTTCCCAGGTTTCTCCTGGGAAACAAGCCAGTTTTTTTTTTTAATTCTTTGATTTAAATGAGCTCTCTCTTGTAAGTGCGGAATAGCTAGGCAGAGGAGAATATTACTGTAAGACTGCTTTGGGGATAGAAACTCAGGACTTAGGAGTTGAAAAGCTTTAGGAGATGTCAGAAACTTTATTCATTGTTGTTGCTGCTATTATTGTTGTTGTTTTAGGCTAACCACATTCTATCACACTTTTTGCCCCTGGAGAATGTCATATGATTCCAGAAGCACAAATGCTTAAAAATTAATTAAACTCAAGTGCATTTAACTTTGAACACCAGCATTAATATTCCGTCATCTATGCAAGTCATTTATTTGAAGCCACGTGCTAAGAAATAGATTATAATCCATGATATTTTATATCAAAGAACCATTTTCATTTCATTTATGTGAATGCTCCCAGTCTCCTTGAGATAATGCATTCTTCTTCCTTTAACTAAAACACAGGTGAAAAGTGAATAATTTAAACTCTTTGTAACAGCATGGAAAATATTTTGAAGCTCAAGGGATAGAGTGCCTTCCCAGCGAGCACAAGGCCTTGAGTTCAAATCCCAGTACTGACAAGAAAATATTTTGATTCATTTGTTGACTTTGTAGAGGGCATTAAGGCTTTTGGATATATATATATATATATATACACACACACATATATCTATATATACACACATACATATATATATACACACACACATACATATATATATATATATATCCAGTTCATTCTGTTTTCTCTGCAGTTAATAAATACCTAAAAGTTATAAACTACTTTCATGAGACATTTTCAGAGGTTCCTACATCTGTGCTTTTAATAAACTACCAACTAAGTATATTAACTAAATAATTTAGAAAATATAGAAACACATATATAAACATATAAATGAAAAATATAGAACTTCAATTCTTATGGCCAGGGCATGGCTTCCATAAACACTGAAATATTTCCTTCTGTTCTTTAACAGATTATTCCTCAAATGGTGTATTTTCTCCTTGGGTTTGACATTAAATTTCCCATGAGCCTATGAACATATGTAAATTTCAGTAATTAAACTTGAACATCTGGAATAATTTTGAAAACTTTGCTTTCTTATTGATCATTTGTTTGGAATCTATTTCTCTATATTCAGATAATGCTGCTATCCATTAATAGATTTTCAAATTTTAATTTTATCTTCTTGTTTTATGTTTAGATTTTCTTTTCAAAAATTGTTTTACCTTAAATATGTGAAATCAGGCTTTAGTTTTATTTTTACTTACAATACAACATGTATTGAAAATAACTTTTCTAGTTATCTAAAATGTCCTTATTTTTCTATGCCGTACTCTTATATATCACCATCCCTAATGTCTGATTTTTAGGAAGACATAGATTTCCACTCTCACTTCGTATATGTTCTTTATTTCTTCATTATTATTTCTACCAACTATATAATAGAAGAAAGTACCTACTGTAATTGTGTATTTCAAATTATTGAACTATCTAGAATTCTAATTGGAAGTATCCTTTAGGTTTGTGAATTTATAAAAAACAAAAGACCTGTCCCAAAATAGGAAAAAAACATATGTACATTTCTAGGATAAGATGTTAAATGAGTTTTCATGGTTTGTAATCAAACATATAACAAAACAAATGGAAAATAATGTAACTATAATATTGAATAGTTCATAAACAAAACCATGTCATTTTGAAAATGCATCATTTACTCCTCAAATACACCAATCCTGTTTGATTTTATGTAAGAATGATAGTGTCCAATCAATATGTTAATACATGTCCAAGAATAATAGTCATGGGAACAGAGATATGGTTCAAGTGGTAGAGCACCAATCTTGAGCAAAAAAAACCCAAAATCAAAAACAACCAAGAGCTCAAAGCTCTGAATTCAAACCCCATTCCCCCCTCCACACATATACTCACTGTTTTACAATACAGAGTAGGGGTGAGCAATAGACTACTCTAATTTAAATATAATATTTATATTATATGAAAGGTATGAAGTACCTTGGTATGAAATACTTTGTGAACCTTCTTGTAAACAAAAAGAAAGAGAAAGAGAGAGGGGGGGAAGGAAGGAAGGGAGGAAGGAAGGAAGAAAGGAAGGAAGGAAAGAGGAAGGAAAGAAGAAAGAGAAAGGAAGGCAGGAAAGCAGGAAGGAGGAAGGAAAGGAAGAAGAAAAAGAAGATAAAATAAAGAAGAAATGATGACAGGGAAGTACAATCTTGCTAGTTAATGAAGAGGGGAAATGGGGCACATTGTATGCTCAGGTGAAAGTATCACATTAAAACACCCATCTTATACAACTGAATAAACAACTCTCGCCTCAAGTGTGTCAAAATAGGGAGATTACTGATATATGATATTTTGAATTTGTGTAGCATAACCTGCTGATTATAAATGAAGGGGAAATGTCACAAAAAGCATAGAAAATAAAGGTCTTAATTTACTTTCAGCATGTATCTTACACATTATGACCACTAGATGACAGCAGCACAATAAATTTGGCAATAAAATTTACAATAGTTTTATTCTGTATGAGATTAATTTGTAATCTCTGACATACCTTATAATTAAAAATATTATGGAAATATATACCAGTGGAAAACTATTGAGTTTTTTGACAGAAAAATATTTGATCCTTTATTTATTCACTGTTTCAAGACTCAGTATTGGAATGTGCAGATACTGTGTCATCAACTAAGTAATAGAAATCAGTAATGATATTGTATAATATTGATAAATATACAGCTAATATATTCAATTATAAGACAGCTTCTGTGAGATTCTTGACTTTTCCAAATTTTCTTAGAAATAATTACCCTTTTCAAGGGATAAATAAAAGGCGATTTTGTCATGGTTACAATTAAAATATAATTAGCATTAAATGGCAAAATTTGAAAATGAAATGGTTCAAAATTAATTTAAACTGCAGCTTTTTTCTTTAAAAAATTGCATTAGTACTCTACCCTCATTTTAAGCTTGGTGCACTGCTACTGTTATCCAACATATAACCTTATATTATGCATTAATGCACTGTGAAAATAAAGGAAGATCATGGAATTGAAATGGAAGCAACTCACAAACTATTAATTTCTCTTGTCAAATTATCCAACACTGGGCATCAAAGCCAGGGTGTCATTCCTGTTATGTCAGTGTTCTACTATTTAACCACTCCCACAGCTGGTCAGATTCTTTCTTTTAAAACTGAGAATGGCAAATACCAATGAGAAGTATGACATGGATAGTGAAAACTCCCCTTTATCCAGTTTGCCCTGGTGTCTAGCTGGCATCTGAAAATTTCTGGGTTCTTAAAGACTCATCTATATTATGCTAGTTAAAAATCTATATTTTGCTATATACAGAACATCAGCTTTGCAGGGCAGTTAGTTGGCCTTTGCCACTGTATATTAAAAAAAGGAAAAGCTGAGGGTTGGGCATTCTGTTTAGTAACAGAGAGCTGGTCTAACATTCCTGAGAGGCCCTGCATTTGATCCATGGTATGAAAAAGAAACCCAGAAACCTGAATTATTCTCTAAAACATGACAATTACTGGACTGCAATTACTGGAGAAGAAGGACCGTTGATTTCAACATATAAATGAATTTAAATGAATTGGGATGTTTAAGCTCACTTAAAGAACATGATGAGATGAGAATTACTACTGATGAGATGAGAATTACTACTGATGAGAATTCCTTGGAAAGTAGACACTGAAACAAAATATTAGAAATTTCTAAATGACTCTGGACTGATGGCCACTGAGCCCGTATCTGGATATTTTATTCTAACAAGATTACTTCTAAAATGGAAAGATTGACTAATCTCAAGAATCTAATCTTTGAGTACATTGATTCAGCCTCATACTGCATTGACTTTATAAAAGTATGCATGTATATTATGGTTAATTTTCCTTGAAGAAAGAGCCCTCTCCTTTCCCGCTGTGGAGTTTCATTCCCTTTAACCCAAAATTAGTTTTCTCATTAGTCAGAAGGATCTAGACTGCTGATTGAAAACCTATGCCATTGTTGATATGAAAACCTATGCCATTGTTGATATGACAGGATTTTAGAAGTGTTGTATGGGAGACAGAGACATCTAAAATCACACCAGGAGACATTTGGTTTCTTAGCCATACTTTTATTTTGTACACAATGTCAGTTTTGCAGTTTTGATAATAAAATTTGTTACATAAATCAGAGAAAACATTTCTTTATGGGATTGTTTTTCTGTAAAAAATTTTTAACTCTTTGCCAACAAAAGAGGTATACAGGTTAAGTGCAAATTATGATAATAAAATATAACAATTCTACTAATTTCATTTTTAAAATATTTATGTCTTAATTTCCCCTCTTGCAGAACTTGGAATCAACTTTGATCATATATGGCAAAAAACCTTGACGGTGTTAAACCCAATGAAGCCAGCAGATGGCAGCATTATGAATGAAACAGACCTCACAGGACCCATCCTTTTCTGTATAGCTCTGGGAGCTACACTGCTTCTGGTAATCTTACCACCCCAGACACTTAAGTTTAATGCTTGCCCTTAATCCATATTGACTTTGAAGAGGTCATTGTAAACAAAAATGGGGTGTTTGTTGCTTTATATAGTGAAAATTATTTAGTTCATGACTTCTTTTTGTGAGACAGACATGTTCCATAACAAAAAGAAGATGCATCATGTATTAAAAGAGAAAAATATGCTTAAACATGATTTTTGAAATGAAACTACCAAGTAGGAGATTTCTTATAGCTTTCCTATTGCTAGGAAAAGCCTCAATCTAATCTGGATTTGTTAAAAACAAACAAACAGCTTTTGGAATATAAGGCCTACTATTTAGTTTTTGTCGTCTTTGTGATTTTAGTAGTGACACTGAACACTTCTCTTTGGTCATAATTTTCTTTGCTGTGGTTTTTTGTGAGTTTTTTGAATACCCTTTATGATTAGGTTACTATGCATAAATTAAGGTGTGATGATAACCTAAGATGTGCTTATAATCATCTTGCATACTCTCTGGCAATCTTAGTCTACTGCTTTCCATGAGGACATTTGCTCCCTGCATATGTCTTATGTTTCTTTTTTATATAGAGAGAAACAGTGATGTTTCTAACTTCCTCCTACACCCATCTCTTAAAGATTCTACGACTGTCCAATAAAAGCACAAGCTGAGGACTAAGCCTTGGGCCTTTGAGGACTCTTAACTAAAGCAAAGCACTCCCAAATTAAGTTTCATCCACAACCCCTAAGAGATAAATGGTATAAAGCTCTTGGTCTACTCAACTGCTATGTGTATGAGCATGATCAGGAAAAGCAGTGTATGTGAACTATACATAAATTGCATGACTCTGGAGGAGAGACAGGAGGATTCTCAAATCAAGGGAAACCCGAATTGCCTGGAGACACCCAGTCTCAATAAATAAATAATGACTGAGGATATAGCTCAGGGGTACATCACCTGCCTACCTTGCTCAATGTCCTGGGTTTGATCCCTATCCCTGGACACAAAAAATGTACCAAATTGAAGAAAACAATGTTTTTAATCAAGATAGGGAATAAAGACAACTTTTCAAGGAAGATCCTGGAAAAGTTCAAGGTTAAAAGAGAATATTTATCTTCTATGGCAATGTCAAGTTTTTTATTCGAATTAGAAAAAAAATTAAATGGCAGTTTTAATAATCTGCCTTGTAGACTTCCAAAGCTAAATTGGATTTTTATGTCTTTATTCAGAATTTTATGCCTTTACTTGTTAGTCAGCAAATAAGGAAAGGGGCTCTGTTTTATGACTTGTGTTTCTTATACACAATGTGGGATTAAAAAAAAATCAACCTGGCAATGTTTCCTCTATTCTGTAGCACTCTTTTCTCATGCCGAGTGTAGTCAGGATGTTTGTTTTCAGGATTGAAATTCATATTACGGATGGTACTGTTGTTGTTTTTCCCCATAATTCCCCGATGATGCTTGCACAAAGACAGACATTGAACGGCCTTGATCTGTGTTCACCTGTTCTCTGTGCTGTCTTTCCAGGGTCTGCGCATGCTTGCTATGCATTCAACCTTTGTCTTTGCGTTGTTTCAGGCAGGAAAAGTTCAGTTTGGTTACGTGTATGGCATGAGTGCCCTTGGCTGCCTTGGTATTTATGCCTTACTGAACTTGATGAGCTCTGCTGGGGTGTCCTACGGCTGCGTGGCCAGTGTACTTGGTTACTGCCTACTCCCCATGGTCATCCTGTCCAGCTGGGCCATCTTCTTTTCATTGCAGTAAGTGACTCCACGTGCACAAGCATCGCCGAGGGCCATCAGACAGACCTGTGAAGCCTTACTGTGCTTTCTGATCGTTTTGTCGATGGAATGGGAAAATCTCGTCTATTGTAATAAAGGCTACACGTGGATTCAGAAATGTAGGCCAGTCAGGCTCAGGGTCTGTTCTTATTTTCCATAGTTAAAATAATAAAGTAGGCCGAGTGATGTTTAAAACTGGCGCTTTTTTTTTAAATTTTATTTTATTTTATTTGTGAACATACTGTACAGAGGGGTTACAATTACATGGGCAGGATAATGCGTACATTTCTTACCAAGCATTGCAGCCTCCTCCTTTGTTTACCCTTCCCATCCCTTCCCAGCCTCCCCCCCCCCCCCCACCCCAATCCTTCTCCCCCCCCCCCCCCCCCCCCCCCCACCAACGTTGTAAAGCTCGTAAAACTGGCGCTTTTTAAGTTGCCACATTCTTCACGCTGAAGTAGTGTCGTGAGTAATATAACAACTACAGAAAATTCACTTACTTGATTTTTGGAAGAGTAAATGCCGCTGAACATTGACAAATTGCTTCAGCTCCTGGGCACTCTGCCTTCGAGCCAGGCAGCAACTGTGCTTTCTCAGCTGGGATCCTTGCAGGGTAGAATTCCCAGGAACTCTGATGAGGATATTAATCCTAGGAAACTTAATAGCATATATGCTCAGGCAATACTTTTTTTTTTCATTTTTCTTCCTCCACTTTGACAGTTTGTATTTGAAATTCAAAACTATTGCTAAGGATAGAGTAGATATAAGTTTCTGCAGAGTACTATTTAGAGTCTATGTACACCACCACAACTTGAGAGAAAGGAGAAGAGAAGAGAGAGAGAGAGATGATTACACAGTTCTCTGTTACCTGCCATGTTCCAAGCCCATTTGGAAGTAAACACTTGCCTTCAGTGCTCATTCTTCAACATCCAAAGAAGACATGAATAGAATATTCATCTTGGATGATCTGAGTCTTAAGTTATTAAGGCTACATAGGTTGCATAATATATAAAGAATTTACCAACACAATGATAAGCAGCTTATAAAAAAGATTTTGCTCTCTGCCTATGTTATAACAGGAAACAATCATTTGTATCACATGATTGACAATGACAATGACAATGTTTTATTATGATCTCCTTAGCTAGGCACCAGTGGCTCATATCTGTAATCCTAGCTACTCAGGAGGCTGAGATCTGAGGATCGCAGTTCAAAGCCAGCCCAGGCAGAAAAGTGTGTGAAACTCTGATCTCCAATAAACCACCAGAAAACTGGAAATGGCACTAAGGCTCAAATGGTAGAGTGCTAGTCTTGATCTAGCACTGGACAGAACCCAGGCCCAGAGTTCAAGCCCAATGACCAAATAAATACATATATATATGAATATATATGATCTCCTTTTTCAAAGTAATGTCCTAAGAATTACTTGTCAACTCTAACTTTATTACCAAGTACTCAACACTACAAAAGAGGAATATGATAGCAAATGAATAATTGGAATGAGTTGTATTTATGGAGTCTTATCTATGGAAAAATCCCACCATTTCTGTATTGTTTTCTTTAATAAGATGTTATGTTTCCTGGGTTGTTTAGTAAGGAAATTTGACCTGTGAGTACAGAGTCTGATTTTACAACTTCTATTTTGTTAGATAATGGTTTTGCAAAAGAATGAAAATATTATCCACCATTTAAATATTCCAAGTTTTAAATCTAATTTTCAGCCAATTCGAGATTTAGAGATTCATTAATGACTTCAGAACATTAAAGAAAAGTTATAATTAAAAGTTATAATTCTTAGGTTTCAGAAATCACCAGAAATTTGGACTTAATTTTTTTATTGTGAAGATACTGTACAGAGGGGTTACAGTTACATGAGCAAGGTAATGAGTACATTTCCTATTAAGCATTGTTACCTCCTCCTTTGTTTTCCCCTTACCATCCTTTCCCTCCCCACTGCCCCAGCCCCCCCCCCACCTGAAATTGCAAAGTTTGTTCTCATCTCATTGTTACAATGGGTCAACCTGTATCCATATTTTTGTTATTTCCCCTCTCCTCCCCAAATTAGAAAAATGTATATACAAGATGCAGGGCACCAGAATCAAATACAGTGACAACAGGGGTTATACCATGGGGGAAGAACATACAAAAGAAACAAAAAAAAATCACATAATACATTAAAAACAACAGTGACAAAGAAAAAAGCTCTTGTGTCCCTCTTGGGGTTCATTTCACTTAGCATCACCTTATATGATCATATGTACATAGCTTTTGACCTTTTCTGCTTGTCTGATAAGAGAAATTGAGACTTCTTTTTGTAAGATTTCCGTTCTGAAATCACAAAGAACTGTGTTCATCTATGTACCATCATTGTGATAAAGTACCTGAGGAATTGTTTATGAAGAAGAAAAGTTGTAGCTCACAGTTTGGGTGGCTTTATTGTTTAAGGATGTATAACATGGCAGAGCATCATGACAGGGAAAGATTGTTCACCTCATGGTGGACAGGAAGCAGAGTGAATCAAAGGAAGGGGCCAGGACCTCCCAACTCCTCTATAAGGACATGCCTCCAATTATAATTTCCTTTCTCTAGGCTCTACCTCCTAACAGTCCACCCACCATAGTATGGCACAAAAGCCTTTAGCATATAGGCATTTGCAGAACTTTCAAGATCCAAACAATAACAGACAGCTGTAGGAACACTTAAAATTATATACAACTGGGATAAGCTATTTGACCCATACCATTGAATTAAAATTGCATATCATTAATATGAATCATACATAATTTCACATTTTTATTTGTAGAAACATGTACATTGAATCAATCTGGATATTTTGCTAATGGACATCTGCATTGTGTATGTTACATCCTTTAAAATATTATAGTAGTTTCTTAATACAGTAGGGCATTCTAAACTAAAATGTGCAAACCTCCACCTTTGGGGGATAACAATTATTAAAAGTAGGTATTTCTGTCATTGTTACAACTAATAAACACTAATCTCCAACTTTAGAGTCCAATCAGGATTGAACAGAGCCCGGTAGTTTGATGGTGAAAGGATAATGTGCTAGGAGTTAGATCTTTATCTGATGTCTACTTAACCACACAAGGCTTACCAGGCCCCTTCCATCTAAAATTGGACCCTATTATGTCTCCAGAGAGCACTTCCAGCAACTGTTTCTTGTTTTCAAATGGAATAAATCACTCTATTTTGCACACAAAGAAAACAATTTCTTCTTCACCATCCTGTCTCCCTCTTGATTCTCCCTATGGTTAGAAGAACAGATTGCTTCCACAATGGCATTTTGAAGATACCAGTTTAAACAAACTTATTCCTGGGTGGATGGGTTGAACAATTCTAAAAGGTCTAACATTGACATAGTACACAGATATTCATTCAATAAGGCACTGACTTATACAGACACACTCTTTCCTGTTCCATTCTCCACTTGAGCTATGATGGGTTTTGCTGTTTGAGATACTTGTCAAGTAGACATGGGAGAATTGGGGATGGGCCCCCAGTTGGAATGTAACTATCTTTTCTCTCACACTGAATCAACTTGTGAAGATGGGAAAAGAAAAATTGTCGCTGTGAGAGAAAGCTCAAATACAGTGTATAAGAGAAATATCAGAGTTGTGGTTTGAATATTGACAGATACAAGAGAGTGTCAGTAATGTCTTCTGCTGTTACTAAGGGTAGCTTTACAGCAGTTTAAAATATTTAGCCTCCGTGGTGAATTCAACTCCCATACTTTCTAACTGGTTTAGACCTCATGAATTCGTTTAGCTCTACACCTTCATTTTATAAATGGTGTGTCACCATTTGGTAATGATGCACCAAAGACATACCAGAGAGAACTCTGACACAATTGTCTTATGTTTTTTTCTCCTGATATAAGGCAATCAATCATCTTTGTCTTTATCACAGGGGCACCTTGGGAACTGTATCAGCCCTGGTCATCATTGGTTGGTGTAGTCTTTCAGCTTCTAAGATCTTCATTTCTGCTCTGGACATGGAAGGACAACAGCTTCTTATTGCCTATCCTTGTGCCTTGCTGTATGGACTTTTTGCCCTCCTCACAGTTTTCTAAAGAGTGTATGAGATGGCTTTGCAAGATTCTATTTCTTTGCTGTTCAGATTGTTCTGGAAGTGGATTAGCATTAAAATTTGGTGGTGTGATTTTTGTTTTATTATTGTTGAGAGAATAATAAACAGCACTTAAGGATAGGGCTCTAATGGCCTGTTTTGTTCAAATGATGTTTTGCTTTTCACCATGGTGCATTAAAACATTTTAACAATATTTTAAAATGAAAAGGGATTTGGTTGGTGTACTGGTATACTGATGGATATGCTCTTCTGTCAGTGTATTTCTATGAAACTATAAGTGAATAAAATCATATGGTTACCATTTACAGAAAATCTATAGTTATGTCTTTTTGAGAAAGTTCCAGGAGTGCTCAAGCTGTATGCTTCTGGTTAAAATTTGCATGGTTCAGCACCTTTTGAGAGCTCAGGAGTATGTTGGGTAAGGTTTTATTTACCCCAAATCTTTTGCCTTTCAGTTCACTTACTTTCACAACTTTTTTCGGTGCTGTTTAGATAATGTATTGACTCACCACGTTGTAAAACTTTCATTTCTCCCTTAGATGCTGTGGTCCATTACTATAACTTCTCCTTCACATGTATCCTAAGTACATTGTTATTTTCTTCCTGAGCAGATGAAAGGTTACCAGAGGAAATCTTACTTGTTTCATTGTAATTGTACCACAAGCTACAAATGCCTCCTTCGTACTGGCCTCAAATCCCACTACATTTCTCTATGAAATTTGTTTTCATATTAAAAGGACCAAATCAAACCAGTTCTTTGCTGCTCAAATCTTCAGCATTCTTTCTTTATTTCTCATTGTTAATTGCTTCTTAATTTATTGAAAAGCAAAAACATCTAAGAGAAAATTATCTTCCCAACACCATACCTATCAACTCATGTACACTTTATCCATCCATCTTCCTCTCACTTCCTTCTTTTTATCAGCTCCTCTACATGCATAAACAGTATTTTTATCATTCTGTCAGTACAGAAACATGTTGCTGTATCTCATATATTTTACTAAAATAAAAAAGTCTACATATGTCCCATTTCTCTGTTCCTCTTAGTAGAAAAAATAGGTCTTAGAAGAATTATCTATTATCTCTCCCTTTACTTTGTCATTCCCTATTCTTCTTTCTTATAGTCCAACCAGGAATTCATCACTCTGATTACAAAGACCTCTTTTGTCAAGGCACTAACAACATTGTCTTGCTACATTCAACGGTCAGTTCTGTTCCATCTTACTTGGCTGCTCAGAGGTATTGATTTATTTCCTTCCGTCATCTCTCCAGGCTACTGTACAGAGACACTCACTTCTTCTCTTGACTTCTAGAATGTCATGTTGTCCTGTTTGTTCCCATCCTGCCTGTGGCTCCCTCACACTCTCCTTGGCTTGTCTTTCCTCTTCTCTTCAGCCTCAAACCACGGTATTCATTTTGTAGCTAAGCTCACTTAATTGCATAGCTTTAAAACTTATGACTTCAAATCTCCAGTTTTATCTAACACATTTCCCTGAGTGCTTGGCACATGTGTTCAACTTATATTTAATACCTCCAATTGGTGTTAATACAATAAAGGTCAGATTTTTCAAAACTAATCAAACCTGGGATTTCTACACTATCCTGCCTGTTCCTCTTCAAAATAAAAATGACAGGTCACCCATTTCCTCCATGTATGAGATAGAGGTTATCTTAATTATTTTTACTTTAATTTCAGTATCTAGCCCATCAAATATTTTGGTCACATATGGGAAAAGCTTGCTATGTAGTGTGAAAAATGATAAAGCCTCCATAAAAAGACACATAAAGAAAATCCTAGATATTTCCACAACTGTCAGAAATAAGAATAAATTCTATTTGATAATTCCTAATGAAAAAAATGTTAAATTCTTAAGAATTAATGTGAAAGACATGTTAATGATCTTTACAAATACAATCACAAAATATTATAAATATATTTTAAGGATATTTTCGTGTGTGTGTGTGTGTGTCTGTGTGTCTGTGTGTGTGTGCTGTGTGTGTGACAGACAGACAGACAAAGAGAGAGAGAAAGAGAGATGACATTATTGGGCTTCATAAAAAGACAAATGTGAATACATAATATAATTCAAATTAAAATACCAGTATTTTTCTTGGGTGTTAACAAAATGATTCTAAGGCTAATCTGAATAAGCAAATATGGCTCAAGATGCATCTCATTAATAGAGTGTTTGTTTAATATGTGCAAACAAGGCCCTGGGTTCAATTCCCCAGCACTGCAAAAGAAAGTATTTATTTCAGTTGAGAATAAGTTAACTAAGTCACTGATAGGTAGCTGGAACTATTTTAGGAGAATTAGGACCCAAGGAAATGCATCTATTAATTTCTAGCCTTTTGATTTGATTTAGATTTTTGAGGCAATATCTTGCTATGTAGCTAAAGCTAGCCTTGAAATCACTACGCAGCTTTGGCTGAGACTGGCTTCTAATTCAAGGTCCTCCTGCCTCACTTCCAGAATGCTGGGATTATACACATACCTGACTACAACCAGTATTCTTTGCCCAATTTTGATATTTATCAAGGACTGCCCATGGGCAGGCCTAAATACTTTATATGTGTTAACTCATCTGATTTTCCCAACAACTACTACTATCAATGTATTATTGTTGCCTTCATTTTATAACTAACAATACTGAGGCTAACTCACTTGCCCAGACTTATTCAGGCAATGACAAAAATTTAAATGAAGAAACATTAATTCCAAAGACTTTAGTTACTACACAACATTGCCAGTTACTAGGCACTAAAATGTGTCCTGTTTATTTTACTTAGATTTTTATTTTGCGCTTGACTTTGGTGGCCAAGATTGCTAGATCCAATGGACTTTATATGTGAAAAGAAAATAATACAGTAATAAGATAGCAGAGTACAGAATGTCAGAAAGGATTAAAGCCGTATCTATATGACTCCAGAACAATAGTTGAAATCAGTGATGCAAATTAAGACCTGGTTAGCATTTGGATAGAAAAAATAAACAAAATATGGTTATCATCTCCTATTCTAAGAATGGTGTACATTATAGGGATTTTTCTGGAATGAGGCTATTTTTCTTACTAGGTTTTAAAACAAAAATTTTGAAATTTATTTTTGGCTAGTAGAATGTTTTCTTTGTAGTTGTAGCTGTTGTTTTGTTTTGTTTTTGTGCTGGTCTTGAACTTAGGGCCTGTGAGCTATCCCTGAGCTTTTATGCTCAAGTTTAGCACTCTACACCGTGAACCACAGTTCCACTTCTGGATATTTTTGGTGTTTAATTGGAGATAAAAGTCTCACAGGCTTTTGTGCCCAGGATGGCTTCACACCATGATCCTCAGATCTCAGCCTCCTGAGTAGCTAGGATTATAGGCATGAGCCACAGATGCTGGGCCAAATGAAATGTTTTAAGAAGCAGATGTTATAGTAAATGGAAATGGATATATATATATATATATACAAAATTAGAAATATATTGCTATATATTTTTCTCTTTCTCTTCTCAGATGCTTTCAATCTTTGTTACCTGAGAATGTAATGGTTTTCTTTTCTCCTTAGTTTTCTGTCTTTACCAGTTAGATGAAAGTTATGGATTATGTTCAAAGGATAAATGGTACATTTGGAGTCAAGAGCTGGCCTTCATTTTTACAGAAATGATTGGGGACATGTGCTGAAAATAAAAGTCCTGAATTACTCTCAGACTCAAGTGCCCCAGTTCACAACAGTTTAACTAGGGCAGTGGCCTTTGTGCCATTTGGTGACAGATGCCTTTCTACTTTCTTTGTCACTAAGTGAGGAATACCAACTGCAAAAAGCACTTTGACAGTCTCCTGTTCCTCTTCCCTTAGAACACAATAGGTTCATTTCTACATTTGTGACACAATCACAAATCTAAAGCTTTCTAATCAGTTTTCATTTCTGAGTAGAAGTCTGCAATATTTTTTTTTAATTTCACAAAACAACCAGGCTACCAAAGGACCCCATGATGATGATGGTAATATAGATGTAATATATTCTATATACCATATATTTTATAACATATGCAGTAGATTATATACATATATATACATAATTTTTATGTGACTTGTTTAATGAAGGTAGGAATCAAGGCCTTTTGTACTGCTGATGAGTCATGTAAATAAAATATTATAGACAAAAACTTTGATAAGAAAAGAATGAAAGGAAAGACAGATAAAAGAAAAGGAAACAAAAAGAAAGGAGGGAAGGAGGGAGGGAAGGAAGCAGAAAAGGAGGGAGGGACAGCAGATAGGTTTCTAAGAGAAATCCAGAGAACTGATCTGGCTGGCTTGACGTGTAAAATTCAACAGCTTGGTGACTTTGAGACCACGACATAGCTTTTGAATCTCATTTTCTTTACATGGAAGATTAAATGAAAGATGCTGCGTGTGCAAGGTCCAAAGGAGGATTGAAAAAGACGCTGCATATGAACTACTTTGCCCAGTACCCCGACATACACTAACTATTCAGGAAATGGGAACTTGCCATAGCTGTGATAGATTCTCTGGGTTGGATCTTATAAATAAAATCATGAGTAAAAGATGGTGATCTTAATTGCTATTTAATGATATATAATTTGGGGGACGGATGTGGGACAATTAGTAGGTGTGATCATGACAAGGCCAACTAAACTTCTAAAAATAATTGCTGTAACTATTAACATAATTTAGTGAATTTGAAAGAAGAATGTTTATTGACATTCCATTTTTTGGCTACTAAACCTCTGAATATCACTCTTATTTTGAAAGAATTCCACATATACAATAACAGATAGCCATACTCTTTTTTGGCATCTGATTGATTAGTAGCACACAAATTAGGCTTATCTGTAGATTCATTTGTTCAGCAATGAGAATCTTGATAAACTGATAAAAGGGAAAAGAAAACACTTGAAGAGGTAGAGAGTGAAATTCTAGCTACAGCGGTTCCTATCCTCATGTAGTAAGGTCTATGAGACTAGATTCCATTAGATTGGAC